CAGATCACTGTTTTTTTCTCCTTCTGTGCTATTGTCTTTGGTTTTTTAAAAAAATTATTAATTTTTTATTGGTGCATTTTAATTATAAATAATAGTGGGATTTGTTGTTACATATTTATATATGTACATAATATGATTTGGTCAATTTCATTCTCTAGGACTCCCCTTTCCCTCCCCCGCCTTCCCTGGCTCCTTCTCTACTTTACTGGTCTCCCTTCTTTTTCATAGGATCCTCTCCATAATTTTTCTCCTGTTTCTCTCTGGCTTCCACATATGAGACATAAAATATGACCCTTGACTTTCTGAGTCTGGCTTATCTTGTGTAACATAATGCTCTGAAGTTCCATCAATTTTCAGGCAAATGACATAATTTCATTCTTTATGATGGAATAAAACTCCATTGTGTGTGTATAGCACATTTTCTTTATCCCTTCATCTGTTGATTAGCACCTGGACTGGTTCCCTAACTCCACCAGTGCTATAAACATGGGTGTGCTTGAGTGGCGATAGCTGGCTGTGTGGTAGGATGACTATCTTTGTATCATGATTTCCATTGTTACTTTTCAGGGAATCCTCAATGAGGATTGTTGAGCTGCTCTCTAGCCAAGCCATTTGCTTTCAAGTCACCTCCAGTCTTTCACAGGATGCCTTTTCTCAGCTTGAATAAATACCATGTTCAAGTCTTTCACTCCTACATTAGAAGGGTAGATCAGCCAACGAAACGCCGAAGTCTTTTCTTTGAACATATAAACTTATTACTGTGAGATATGGGTTTTTAATTAACCTTTGCTGTTGAATCATTGTGCAAGCCTGTTCATCACTGTCCTTAGTCATGTCACCTATAAACTAAGATGAAGCAGCAGAAGGATATCTCAAGGACAAAATAAAATGACTGTTGGCCAGGCATGGTGGCACATGCTTGTAATCCCAGGCTCTGAAGGCTGAGGCAGAGGATTGTGAATTCAAAGCCAGCCTCAGCAACTTAGTGAGGCCCTAACAACTCAGCGAGACCCTGTCTCTAAATTAAAAAAAAATAAATTATATATATATATATATATATGGGCTGGGATGTGGCCCAGAGGTTAAAAGTCCCTGTGTTCAATCCCTGGTACCAAAAACTTAACTAAAATAAAATGATTATAAATCTGTGATCTTTGTAAAACAAGACTGATGTAGCAGATCACTGCTTTTAAGTAGAATAAAAAGGGCTAATTTCCAATGCATATTTAAAAAGCCATGTTGGCAGGAGGTCAAGCCCAGTGGCCCAGATCTACCTACACTGGCCTGCAAGAGATCCAGGCTCACATTAGGCCAGGGTCCATCCCTCCACTGGCAAGCACCCACCAACAGGGCCACCCCTTCCAACCAGCAGACTACCACAGGAGGTCAAGCCCAGCAGACCAGATCTTTGCACACCAAATTTCACAGGACCCAGGTCCAGAATAGGTCCGAGTTTGCTCCACCCCTACCTGAGAGCCTAAGCCTAACCCCTTCTATCTTGGGACACTGCAGTCACCACCATAGCGTTCACCACGCATTAGCCCCTAACTTTTTGACAACAGACAGGGCCTAGAAGTAGCTGTATCTCAGAACAGGCATCCTAAAGAGAGTGTAAGGCCCACTCTTTCAGCCCCATCTCTGTAAGCATTGCTTCCATCTTGAGGCACCTCTTGAATTACCTTGGCTATTGCTGCCACCATCTTTAGTTGCAGTAGCATACATTGAGGGACACCAGTGGGGTCTGGAAGCCCAACATCAAGGTGTGGTACAGACAATCTGCATGGGTACTACAAGAATATAGGGAAGAAACTGTCATATCTCAGATCCACACTGCAAGAAAGGAAGACACATAGACAACATGAAAACACAAGGGAGGAAAGTGCCCCAAACAAACAGGACATTATAATAACAGAACCCATGAACAGTGAAGTCGATGAAATGTCAGAGAAGGAGTTTAGAAGGTTCATAGTTAAAATGATCTGTGAATGAAAGAATGACCTAAATGAGCAAATACAGGCAAAAATTGATCACTCCAACAATGAGATAAGAGAGTGAATACAGGTAGCAAAAGATTACTTCAAAAAACTCAGTAAGAAATCCTTGAAATGAAGGATACAATAAACCAAATAAAAAAATCCAACAGAAAGCATAACCAACAGTTATTTTACAAATTGTATACTTTGTCTTCATTATCTGATGTTCTTTCTTCCAATTTGTAAAATAAAATTGATCACACAGTGAAGATAGTAAGAAATCATGAACAGGACATCCAAGAATTATGGCACAGCATCAAAAGACCAAATCTAAGAGTTATTGGGATAGAGGAAGGCACAGAGTTTCAAACCAAAGGAATGTACAATCTCTTCAATGAGACAATATCAAAAAAATTCCCCAAACATGAAGAATGAATTGCAAAACCAAATACAAGAGGCTTATAGGACACCAAATGTACAAAATTACACCAGATCTACATCAAGGCACATTATAATAAAAATGCCTAGCATACAGAATAAGAATAGGATCTTAAAAGCCGCAAGAGAGAGGAATCGGATCACATATAGGAGGAGACCAATTTGTGTATCAGATTTTTCAACCCAGACCCTCAAAGCCAGGAGATCATGAAACAACACATACCAAACTCTAAAAGAAAATGGGTGCCAACCAAGAATCTTATATCCAGCAAAATTAAGCTTTAGATTTGATGATGAAATAAAAACCTTCCATGATAAGCAAAAGTTAAAAGAATTTACAACTAGAAAGCCTGCACTACAGAACATTCTCAGCAAAATATTTCATGAAGAGGAAATGAAAAACAATGATGAAAATCAGCAAAGGGAGGTATTACACTAAAGGAAAATATAATCAGAGGAGAAACCAAGTCACATTAAATACCAAAAATAAACAAAATGGTTGGGAATACAAATCTAGTCTCAGTAATAACCCTGAATGTTAATGGCCTAAACTCACCAGTCAAAAGACATAGACTTAGCAGATTGGATAAAAAAAAAAAAAAAACCACCAACAATATGCTGCCTCCAATAGACTCATAGGAAAAGATACCCACAGACTAATGGTGAAGGGTTGGGAAAAATCATAAAAAGCCATGTCAAGTAAATGAGTACAAATATATAACTTAAAGTTCTGATAGGAAAGAACAATTTTGAGGGTTTTTTGTTGTTGTTATTGTTATTTTGTTTTCTTTTTTGTACCAAGGATTAAACCGAAGGATGCTTAACCACTGAGCCACATCCCCAACCCTTTGAATTTTTTAAATTTTGATTTTTTTTTTCTTTTTTTGTGGTGCTGGTGAGTGAACCCCGGGCCTTGTGCATACAAGGCAAGTACTCCACCAACTGAGCTGTATCCCCAGCCCTGAATTTTTTAAATTTTAAGACGGGCTCTTATTAGGTTGCTTACAGCCTCATTAAGTTGCTAGAGCTGGTTTTGAACCTGAGATCCTCCTAACTCAGCCCCCTGAGCTGCTGGGGCTACAGGCATGCAACACCACAGCAACCCAATTTTGAATTTTCCTAGAAACAGGAGCACTGTTCAACAGTCTGGCGGGCAAAGGTGCTAGAGCCCACTGTTCTGCTCTTTCAACTGCCAATGTCACTGAATTCCTGCTATTTCAGACACACTGTAGACATGGTGTTAACTTAAATGGTACCCAGAAAAAAAAATACACATGCTGCATATGGAGAAAAGCCTAAACTCTTTCTCTATTTTTATGAGCCGCCAAGCTTGCTGCTGGTGTTTACATTAACAGAGAAATGTGATATTAATATTTAGCTCACTCTGCAGAAATATGCATCTAAATGGGAGAAATTTCAGCATGCAGTCTCCAGAGCGATTTGTCTCTGTGTGTCTTGAGCGCATGGACACACACACACACACACACACGCATGCACTCATGAAGAATGTCTCCCAGCTCACAGGGCTGAAAGCTCTCAATTAAATGAGAAGAATAACACATGGCCAGCAGAAGGAGGTGATCTAGAAGAATGGCAATGTTTACAGCTACAGGGGTTGCCCAGCATGCATGGGGGCTTTGTGAACCCTGTTGGAGATGGAAGCCTCACATGGACAGCTGCAGTATCAAAGAATCCCAGTGACCTAGATTCAGCTATAGATTCTGAACTGCTTTGGCCTGAGCTGCCATCACTCCGCCAGCGGTCCACTCGCAGTTTCACTGGCTCCCTGGCAAACAGTGCTGACCCATTTCACCATGACAACCTGGGCTGCTCTACGAAAGGCTGTGTGCGCAAGGAAACGCGCACTGTTGGCATTTTAAAGATTCCAGAATTAAGTTTACACAAGAGTTTTTGAAAACCACATTTAGAAAACTCAACTAAAGCTGACATTCTTTGACAGCAGTGGAAAAGATGGAGAAGAGAAATGTGGAAAAGTAACTGTTAGCCTTTTCCACGTTCTACACCCTCAGCCAAACAATCCATTTTATGTTTTACTCAGCTAATAGCAGTGCAATAAATACGTTAACCAAAGTGAATTGATAAACAGAGAATAAGCAGGTGAAAAAGCCAAGGGATTAACTTCCACTGCTACATATATTCTGGTCTATTAAAGCAGCATATATAGAATCAAATAATTTAAAAACTCATGATAAATAAATGGAAGTGTTTAAAGGTGGATTTATTACAGCCTTGGCTCAACCTTGAACTATACAGAATCGAGTTTCATTGGAGAATGAGAATAGTATGCCCCTTGGGGGAAAAAGGGGTCTGTGCTTTGGTAAAGGAATTCCATTTAGCGAGAGCAATTTAGAAAAATCAGGATCTGGTATGTGCATGTGATCACATTAAAATGCACCCTCCTTTTTTTGATGAAAACCATAGCTCTGGATTGAATGCATTTCCAGCCCTTTATATTGAAATCCATGTACCATTCTCAGCACCACTTTTTGTTGTTGTTGTTTTTAATGTTAAATTAGCTGTGAAGCTAAATCTTAGCTCTTCCTGAGTGATCTTCTCTGTTTCTTGCAGAGCAGAAGCAAACTCACAAGAGGCAAAAGGATGCTCTATGTGGTGCTGTCTATTCCTAGCAGCAGACCCTGTCCTGGGCCATCAGGATTTTACTCAGGGATGATAGACCCACACAGAATCTTCACCTTTTAAGGAGAAGAATGAGAGGAGCAGCCAGAAGCTTGGCATTATGGGAATCAGCCCAATGCACTTTAGGGAAACATGGAAATAAAATCATAGCATGCCTTTTGAAATGAATCAGTCATTTACTCCTTTTGTAAGAGATTTCAGGAACTCTCCTTCTCATTCTCTCTTACTCAGCATTTTTCTTCAGAGCTTAAAAAGGTTTTCTTTCATTTTGCAAGAGCTTGGTCTCCTTTACAGGTCCTTCTTGTCTCAAATCTTCCAGGAAAAATTTCTATCCTTTGTTGAAGAATTGATTTCCCTCTGGAGATACTCATGATTCTATTTGCCTTTACTTTTCATCCCAGCTGTCAGTGAAGAATTTATTATGTTAACTAAGTATTAATACATTGGTGCAAATTAGATAAAGAATTGAAAAACAAATATCATTGTAAACAGTAGTAGCCATTGGAATCAATCATTCAAATCTTAAAATGATTAAATGTGAAAATTAATGATCCAACACATGTAAAGCATAGCAACAGTTTTTCATGGCCCAAATTGAAGTTACAAGTAGAATAATCATACATTCTAGCCTACTTCTCTGCTTGCCATCCTGATATAATTACAAATAGTGAACGATAAATTGCATGGTCTTCCCAATAATAATATTTTCTGTGCTGGAAACATCTTCCTTAAGCATGGATCCACAATTTAATTTGCTGTCTATTATATGGTTTTATCAGCAAGAAGCTGAGGTCACCATCTCTTACTGAAAGTTCTATCACTTTCGTATGTAAGGTTAATCATTAATTTGAGGTTATCACAAGAATGTATTCAGGGGTGACCACAGCCAAAGCTGGAAAGTAGGCAGGGTTCACAATGGTGTCTTGATCTTGCCAGAATAATCTTCTATACCCTACTTTCCTTAGCACATGCTTTCCTCTAAATTTGTCTTCTTCTTTCCTACTGTCCTTTCTCGTCTCTCCTGTTCCTTTTCCAAGAGTTTCAGCTCTCAGATTCTTCATAAGCACCAATATACCAATGATTGATGAGTTTTAAAAGTTTGCTTTTGGGAGAGTTATTTGCAAGGACAAAGGGAAATCTTTTTTGATAGAATTTCTGTCATTTATTCTTAAAATCACATACCATGCAGACAAATCTCTTCATTCCCCACTCTACCTCTGTCAGCAGTCAGTGAAGTCAGTAGGCACCAGGTAGATGAGCAGGGCTCCCAGTGTAGATGATCTGAAACACAAGGCAGAAAACAGCTTTTGTTTCCAAATGCTTTTCATTCCTTCGGCTATAAAACTGTGTTATATGCTTCTAAATCTAAAAAGGACTTTCATGGGAAAGCGAATGGAGATTCAGATTGTTCTATCATTTCTTACTTGGAAGACCAAAAATATCTGAGATCTGTTCAATGCCTTTGAATCTAAAAGAATAAAGCATACATGATATATTTAAGTCACTTCCTTAATTAAATTGGCATACAACTGGCTGTCTAGTTGCATAGGAATTACTTTTTCTTGTGTGAGGAATGAAGCTTTGTAATATCAATAAATTTTAAAGGATTGTTTCCCATAGAAAAGATTAAAAATTTAGGACAGGGTATTTTATGAGATCATTCAGAATTCTTCTAATACTTGTGATATCATCTCTCTTTTATATTTCAATCACTGATTGATCAGCGTTTATGGTTTGCTGTGTCAAGATATTCAAGAATTGATGTAAACATTATCTTTGCACATGCTTGTAGATTTCCAGGTCTGAACTTCTGCATGACTTTAATGGATTCATTATTCAGACATGCACTATCTTGTGGACTGAATCATCTTTGTGATCATGAGTTTGTTGGTGCTTATCACTAAAAGCATTTAGTGATGCAAACGACCGCCAATTTCTGAAATACCAGAGCATCACTTGCCTTGACCTGCAAAAACATGCTTAGTTCATCCTAAGGCAGGCAGAGTATACATATAAGCTTCCAATCCAGGTACAAAGTTACTGTCTCCCATTTGGAATTATAAGCAATGGCTGATTGTATGTTTTGTTCATATTCCATTAGTCATTTTACTGAAAAATAAAATTAGTTTTCCATTCCTTTAAGACTTCACATGGTCCTTTTCTTTTTTTCCCTTTTATCTCTGCTTTTAGATTTTTTTTTTGTTTTATTAGTTTATTCACTCAGTGAATATTCAATCAGTACTCTCTTTCTCTCCTGACAAGGTGTTGTGCTAAGTACTGTGCCATGTGAGGTATGACATCTACCTCCTATTAGGTTTCAGTCTGATGCAGACCCTGTCGTTCAGAAATCTGAACTAGAAGGGATTCTGGCTGCAGTCAGAATAATTTCTTGGGCTGAAGTGTACACTTAATTTTAACAAAGATTGGAGGGCAATGCTGGGCTAAGCTGGTGTATCAGAACCTACAACATGGAGGGTAGCAGAGCAGTCTGTGTTGAGAAAACAGCCCAAAAAAGTTGCCTTAAGAATTGAGCATTGAGGAGTACCAGGGCTGAAAGTGAAAGATTACTTGAGAGCCGGATTGTCCAGCTAAGAGTTTGGTCTTAATCCCTATTAAGGGGAGACACCCTCAGAGAATCTGGAAAGATTTTTGGCAACTTCTCTGCTTTAAGAAAATGAAGGCGGAGGGTGATTTTTCAAGATGAACCGAGGAGGGAGGGGCAGGAGAGGGAGAAAGGTCAATTGGGGAGTTATTTCAACACTCAAGGTGTGGTGCGATAAGAAGTGGACGCAGGATGAATCAAAGGGAGAGAAGATATGTAATGTGGGAGTGTCGTAGTTTATTTCCCCAGAGAATTGAGTTCACCTTCATTAATGCAGCAATAAAACGAGTCATGCTTTTGCTAAGCCTTCCAAAAATGTAGCAACTTATTTTGCAGGAATTGTGCTCAAGAAGTACTTATGAATGTTATGAAATGAACTCAGTTAGTGACTTGAGAGACATGTGTCAAAGAACAATGATGGTCACAAATTTAAGTCCAATATGTCTCCTTTTCAAGCCCTCCACTGCCCGTGGTCTGCAAGTGCAGAGCATTATGGACATTATGTTATGTTCCACTCTCATCATTCCCTCTGAAAATGATAAAGCCCTTCTGCTTTGATAATGGGGAGAATGAAACACAGAAAGTATCAATAAATGAAGTAATGCAAAAGCAATATTTCCATTGTGCCAATTTTCTTTAGCAAGAAACAAGTCAGAATACCCTTGGTAGAAGTTACTTTAGAGTGAAGTGGTTGAACCAGGTAAAACTTGTGCTGAACAGACAAAAGAGGACTAGTGAAGGCTAAGTATCTGTGGAGGATGGGTCTGCCACTAACAAGGAGCTGGTCCTTACTTGCTGAAGCTGACATGGACAATTTAGGGAAATTTAGGACAATGACAGTGGATTTTTGTCATAAATTATCTAGATTACTATTTATCTTCTTGTCCAAATTTTAAAAAAAATTAGTTTATTCTTTAGATTGTGTCAAGTGTGACCCATTTGATTTGCTGACTGTAAAGTGCTTTCTATTTAATAAGTATAATCCCCAACTTACATCGGGAAGAGAAAGTCAAAACACTGGATAAAATGTGGAATTCAATTAAATACAAGTTTCGACAACAGGATGACACCAGGAAGCAATGGTTAAATTGAAGCAATTATTATGAATGTTTTTGGTTATGCATCATATACTTATGTGTTTATTTGGGAATACAGAACTTCATATTTTCATATGTATATAATGAGATAGAAACAAGGAGAGTGAGAGAAAATAAGAGATTTTACCTAGAAGCAGAATATTCTGAGTACGTTTGTTTAAATCATTTTCCTTAAAGGTCCCTCTTTAGGCATTTGAAGTGGAAATCATTCTTTTAGGATTCCATTTTATCACTCATTTTTGTTTGTACAGAGCTGCCCAAGAAGGCTGCATGGCAAGACAACATGATTTACTGTTCTGTAACAAACAACAGAAGAATTGCAAGACTTTGAAAACTGACATGGGGAAGGAGAGGGGAAAAAAAGGGAAATGTTTATACCTCCTCATTTTGACATGGCTCCTTCAGAAATCTGATACTCAATATCTGCCTGCATCTGGAGAAGGGAAGAAAGAGACCATACAGGCATTCTGTACTTAATGTTGAAATAAAACCCTCTATTGTCCACCAAGACAATAGAACCAGTCTATAATAATGTACTACAAGTAGAGCATAAATGACATAAGCCAGCAATGCAGTCTTTGTTCTAGTGTAATCTTCCATATCAACCATCTCCACTCCCCAGAGGTAAGAGAGAGGCCTTTCTCCTATTTCCCATAACTTGCCCCTGCTCTCTCTCCTTACTCTGTAGACAGCCCTGTAATAAGGCTCCCCTCTGGGATGGCTAATCATGTTTGACAACATAGGAACTGTCCTAAATCTTGGCCAAAATCTCACACTAAGGCCAAACTGTTTGCATGCATAAACAAAATTGTTGTTTCATTATCTATTTAAAGTTTGCAGGAGGTATTTACTTTGGTGGGAAGAGATGTGGGAATACTGAGAAGATGGGGGTGTCCACAGCAAAAAGCACTTCTTGGGAACATGTTACTTCAACTTCTATGGAGAAATCATCTTTCATGGGCATAAAAAATAAGTAAAAAAATACATTACTAAAACAAAGTAAACTATGAATGATAAGTGTAGGGCAGAAATCTTGATGGGGAACACTGAAGCCTACAACATACTCACCACTACCTGATACCGTGGGGGAACCACAACATGGGGTGGAGAGGTTATTATTTCTGCTGAAGGCTATGATTTCAGGTTACATGCAGGAGTCAGGGAAAAAATTAATTTACAAAGTACATCATATCTTTTGCAGCCATAAAATCAATCTATGCACAAGAGAAAACTCAATCTGTTAAAAATATTTCATAAATGAAATGAAGGTATAAAGAAAAGACCACTAAGATTTGCAAAAAGCAATCAAAATGGGACAATTGCATATTAAAAAAAAATTGAAGAGCTTTGAAACAGAAAAACTTACGCTGTTTGCTTTGCTTGAGAACAGAAAGAAAAGGTTCTCAATGTATGTAGCCTCTTGACACCCTGACTTTCTCATGCTAGAAAAGACTCATTTCACTTCTTTC